GCAAGAACCCTGTTCCAAGTTTATCATTCCGAACCAAAGCGTAAAATTGTTCTGTCAAAAATGACTGAACAGCACCAGAGGGTTAAAAGTGTGCAATATAACACCCACTCACCTATCTGTCACGAGTTCTATCTGTTTGCATTGTTACCATGAGTGTGTTTCAGTACAAATTCAGTCTGAAATATAGATTTAAACTAATTTTGATTTCTCTTCAGCATCACCTCAAATGCTCTATTTGGCTGAAACCTAAATTATACAATTTACAAGAGGCATCTAAAATGTACCCGGTTACTAACATAACCTTGGTTCCCTGAGAGTAGGGAACGAGTATTGCGTAGCTATATGCAGTGAGGAAACTCTTTTCCTTAGATTATTGAAGCTTTTATGTAAAACATATTGCAACAGCAACTGCACATCCAATGGCGAAGGCGTCTCTGACGTGTGCGCCAATCAGCTATCAGCGCGTAGTCACTCGTCAGAGCGCCTATAAAAGAACCCGAATTCGCGATTATAGCAGGTTTAAATCTACAGTGCGGCAGGCTACGCAATACTCGTTCCCCACTCTCAGGGAACCGAGGTTAGGTTAGTAACCGAGTACGTTCCCTTTCAAGAACGGTCACTTCGTATTGCGTAGCTATACGCAGTGGGGATGCAATGTAAAACACTGCACCAAGTAACTGGCTACAACTGAAAACCCAGGATTCCTGGGCTCGCAGAAACAAGCCAGAATTCATGTATTTATATATATATACACTCACCGGCCACTTTATTAGGTACCCCATGCTAGTAACGGGTTGGACCCCCTTTTGCCTTCAGAACTGCCTCAATTCTTCGTGGCATAGATTCAACAAGGTGCTGGAAGCATTCCTCAGGGAGTTTGGTCCATATTGACATGATGGCATCACACAGTTGCCGCAGATTTGTCGGCTGCACATCCATGATGCGAATCTCCCGTTCCACCACATCCCAAAGATGCTCTATTGGGTTGAGATCTGGTGACTGTGGAGGCCATTTTAGTACAGTGAACTCATTGTCATGTTCAAGAAACCAATTTGAAATGATTAGAGCTTTGTGACATGGTGGAAGTAGCCATCAGAGGATGGGTACATGGTGGCCATAAAGGGATGGACATGGTCAGAAACAATGCTCAGGTAGGCCATGGCATTTAAACGATGCCCAATTGGCACTAAGGGGCCTAAAGTGTGCCAGGAAAACATCCCCCACACCATTACACCACCACCACCAGCCTGCACAGTGGTCACAAGGCATGATGGTTCCATGTTCTCATTCTGTTTAAGCCAAATTCTGACTCTAACATCTGAATGTCTCAACAGAAATCGAGACTCATCAGACCAGGCAACATTTTTCCAGTCTTCAACTGTTCAATTTTGGTGAGCTCTTGCAAATTGTAGCCTCTTTTTCCTATTTGTAGTGGAGATGAGTGGTACCCGGTGGAGTCTTCTGCTGTTGTAGCCCATCCGCCTCAAGGTTGTGCGTGTTGTGGCTTCACAAATGCTTTGCTGCATACCTCGGTTGTAACGAGTGGTTATTTCAGTCACTGTTGCCCTTCTATCAGCTCGAACCAGTCTGGCCATTCTCCTCTGACCTCTGGCATCAACAAGGCATTTCCGCCCACAGAACTGCCGCTCACTGGATGTTTTTTCTTTTTCGGACCATTCTCTGTAAACCCTAGAGATGGTTGTGCGTGAAAATCCCAGTAGATTAGCAGTTTCTGAAATACTCAGACCAGCCCTTCTGGCACCAACAATCATGCCACGTTCAAAGTCACTCAAATCAACTTTCTTCCCCATACTGATGCTTGGTTTGAACTGCAGGAGATTGTCTTGACCATGTCTACATGCCTAAATGCACTGAGTTGCCGCCATGTGATTGGCTGCTTAGAAATTAAGTGTTAACGAGCAGTTGGACAGGTGTACCTAATAAAGTGGCCGGTGAGTGTATATATATATATATAAATATAAATACATGAATTCTGGCTTGTTTATATATATACACTGATAAGACCAGACACCGTCAGGTGTAAATCATATATATAGTGAAATCACTAAGCTCATACCCCAAAATAAATATACTAATAGACCAGATACCCTTGGATCTGATTATACAGTATACATGGACAAAAAACAGCCAAAGCTGGTTTAGAGCAAGGGATAGTGTGCTTATGAACAGTGACCTGACACATAGATGAGACTGGATCTTGTCGAGTCTAATATCATACAGAAAGGACCTTAGCCTGCAGGGAAGCGACCTCCATATTATAGAACCTCAGAAATGTGGAGGGCGAGGACCAACCGGCCGCCGCACAAATGTCCTGAATAGGAAACCCAAAGGACCACGCCCATGACCTCTAGTTGAATGAGCTCTAGTGCCTATAGGGCAAAACTGACCCACCGAGGCGCATGCCAAGGAGATGACATCCACTATCCATCTGGACAGCCTCTGCTTCGTGACTGGAGATCCTTTGGATCGGCCACCGAAGCAGAAAAAAGAGCTGTTCTGACTGTCTATAGGACGCAGAGCGCTCCAAATAGACCTTCAAAGCTCTAACAGGGCAAAGTGGATTAGCCTCCCCATCCTTAACGGTAGGGGGAAGAGCTAATAATGTAATCACCTGTGCTCTAAACGGTGTTGAGAGCACCTTAGGGACATAGCCATGTCTGGGTTTGAGAGTAACTTTGGAGTCACCTATTCCAAACTCCAAACATGAGGGGCTCACAGAGAGCGCCTGTACATCTTCCACTCACTTGATAGATGCCAGTGGCAGCAGGAGAGCAGTCTTTAGCGAAAGTGGTTTAAGATCAACGACTGAAGCGGCTTAAATGGAGGACCCCTCAGGGCCCCCAGGACCGTGGGAGGTCCCAGGATGTTACAGAAGGTGGCCTGGGAGGGTTCATCCTCCTGGCCCCCTTAAGGAACCGTATGACCAAGTCATATCTTCCTAGCGATTGGCCAGCCACCGGAGCATGATAAGCTGCTATTGCTGTCACATATATACTTTGAGCGTGGACGGGGAACGGCCCGCGTCTATCAGAATCACTGATACCTCACATGACTGAGGTTCAAAGTGTCTAACCGAGCAGCAGCCGGAGAACACTGACCATTTCAGAGCATAGAGACGCCTGGAAGACGGGGCTCTAGCCTCAGTAATCGTGTTCATGACCTTCACAGGGAGGTCCCCGGGTACCCGTTGAGGGGCCATACATGTAGGGCCCATAAGTCGGGACGAGGATGCCAAATCGTCCCCTTCGCCTGCGTGAGGAGATCTCTCCTCACAGGGACCAGCAATGGGGCTTTGTCCACCATCTAAACCAGCTCTGGAAACCACGGTCAAGACTTCCAGAGGGGGACCACTAGGAGGACTGGTTCCCAGTTCCATGACCCGTTTGATTACCTGAGGGATCATGGAAACGGGGGGAAAGGCATATAACGGACGGCTGGGCCAGGGGTGGGCCAGCGCATCCCTGTTCTTCGAAAAGAACACAGCGCAGTGAGTGTTGTCTCGGCCTCGGCAAAAACACTCCATATCAGACGAACCGTCTGAGGGTTTAGAGACCACTCGCCTAGGGGAGTGTTGTCTCGAGGAAGCATATCCGCACCCAGATTCTGAATGCCAGGGATATGCGCTGCTTTCATAGAGCTCAAGTTGGCTTGCATCCAAATAAGGAGATCTCTCGCCATGGAGTACAGGCTGCCCGACCTGAGACCACCTTGGCGATTGATATATGCCACCACTGACATGTTGTCCGTGCGGACTAAGACGTGGTGTCCCTTGAGGCTCGACAGAAATGCTTTCAGGGCCAAACAAACTGCTTTCATTTCCAGACAGTAGATATGTAAGCTCTGCTCCACGCTCGACCAGAGGCCGGAGACAGGCTTGCCCTCGTGCAGCGCTCCCCAACCCAGGTTGGAAGCGTCTGTAAAAAACACTTTCCTCCTGGAGGCCTCACCCATGGCCACGCCCCCGTGGTACCAATTCTGAACCCGCCAGGGAATCAGGGTTCGTAAACAGCCGTGATTCACCATAATGCGATTCATTTTCACTGGTCTGACTGTGAAAACAGGACCGGTGATGGTGTCCGAGCCGTAGAAAGCAAAGCACGCAGGGTCATGGCCGGCGTGGGCTTGCTAACATCTATGCTCTCAGGCTGCCGCTGGCTGCAGCGCGGGAAACAGGAGGTGCGGCGTCGCCATCCTTGGTGAGGGCTAGCCGCGTCCGCAGCACCGAAACAGGCATGCCCTCGCAGAGAGAGCAGCCGCCAGCAGAGAGTGCAGATTCCATGTGGGCAGGCCCCAGGCATGACACGCATTCTGAATTCCAGTCGACCTCGTGCAGATGGGATCTGCATGTGGCGCATGTCGAACAAGGCATTTGAAATAACGCTTGTTCGAATCCTTCACTGTAAGAAATAACAGATAATCAAATGGATATAATGCTGATGATCGCCGGATGGCCACTGGAGAACGGCGACAGGAGAGAGCGGTGAGTGAAGGCGCAGTCCGCTGTGTGGCTCGTTCTGGCAGAGAAGGCTAGTTTCCACGCCGATAGCTTCAAATCTATCCAGAGGACACAGAGACAAATGTTGTCGCTGAAGTAGAGAAAATCTGCTATAATGGCGAATTCGGGTTCCTTTTATAGGCGCTCTGACGCTTGACTACGTTCTGATAGCTGATTGGCGCACACGTGCCTTCACCATTGGATGTGCAGTTGCTGAAGCACAGCCAATGAGTGAGCCAGTCTCTCACTGTGCTCGCTGTGCAGCTGCAATGCATTTTACATAAAAGCTTCAATAATCTGAGGAAAAGAGTTTCCCCACTGCGTATAGCTACGCAATACGAAGTGACCGTTCTCGAAAGGAAACTAAGAACATTTTCTTTTCTCAGAACTGACTTTTTAATTGTTTCCTTGTTTATCCAGAAAATGTCTACTTTAGGCTTATTTTCTTTCATGTCATCTCCACGTCGAAGAAATGCTTATGATGATGATGATGATGATGATGATGATGATGATGATGATGATGATGATGACAATTCTCAAAATGAAAGGTTAGTATATTTTATTTGCTTTTTATTAAACTAATGCTGAATTATTTAGTAATTTATAGAAATAAATAGAAATATTTGTACATGCTTTTATTGGCCTTGTTAATTTCTTGTTATCTAGATGTAAAAAAGAAAAGAAAAAGAAATGTAGGCCTACATTTATATTCAAGTAGGGCTGGGCGATAAAAAGATAACGAGAATAATCAATATCAATAAAAATGCGTTCGATAAAACGTTCGATCATTTTTATGTTTCTTCGTCGGAAGAAACCAGGTTGCGAAGCAAGTTTGGTTGCATGAACAAAGGCACTCACTCTCTGGTAACCTAGCAACGTAGGGAGTGACACGTTAACAGACAATCATGTAACAGTATCAGTTTGGTTGCACCATATCGTTGACTCGTGTTGTTCTATGGGCCTGACCAAATACTCACACTTGCGGTCTTTTGTAGACCACGTGTCTACTTACATTATTTATTTCCTGTATTTAACCCAAGTGTTTGGACTGCAAGTGTGTGTAGAACTTTTGATTACCTGATGGGACACAGACACACTTATAGTGTTGCAAATGCAAGTGTTTACAGAGCTTTTCTATTTTTTCTATTTTAAATTGTAGCGCTTCTAATTGAGTGATAAAGAGCAGTTAAATGTTGTACAAAATATACATACACTGTAAAAACAAACCTATAGAATCTACTTAATAAAAGTGAGGTAAAAATTTACTTAATTATTATTATTAATAATAAGTCAATAGAAATAATTAAACATCACTTATTCAGAGATGGTTAAATTTACCTAAAAATGGCCAGACACACATTCAAATTACTAGACAAAAAAATTATATCCTGAGAAAAGAGGATTTTGAGGGGTATAGCTCCATAGACCTCCATTCATTCTGCACTCGTCCTGTGAGAGCCCAAAGTGGAACTGCAACCAGTTCAGAAGCCGGAAGTTCACTGAGAGTGGAAGTTCTCCCCTTATTAGACATTCTCTGGTCACACCTTAAAAGTGAAACCAGAAAATTAGGGAAACAAACATTTTCTCAGTTATAGTTACTAAATATAAAGGTCTAAAGTTTAATTAGACAAATGAGATGACAAACTTGAGCCTATAATCCCAGCCACCTCTCTCTGAAGTGACTGACAGTCGGGCTGATGGTCACAACCTCCAGTCTTCGAATTGAAAATGTTTTTGACATTTTTTCTTCAATTACCTTTGCGTTGTTGTTCTTCTTCATTTCATCGACTAACTCAAGTCAAGTCAAGTCATATTCATTTATATAGCGCTTTTAACAATGAATTGTTTCAAAGCAGCTTTACAGAGATAAACATATAATTTAAAGAAACAGAGATTGTTTGGCTTTATAGCGGTTCTTGAATAATGTTATTTTCCAGCTAAAGTTAATTTTGATTGATTCACCTCCGTCGAAATGATCAGACTTTAAACGCGAACCTGTGATTAACGCTGACGGCGTTCACATGCACATTCAGAATTGATTGCAGCGCGGAATTGATTGCACATTGCAGCGCGGGTATAAAACAGGAAGCGGGCGCGAGCACCCACCGTCTTTCATTTCGGAGCGCGAGTTTCCTGTGACTGATGTCTAAAGATTCAACGCCTTTGAAGACTTCAAGGAAGATCTCTCTGTTCCAGTGTTGGTGTGACGGTGCGATCAGCGGTGGCCGCGATCAGTGCAGCTCTCTACGGCTGTTCACACAGCACTATTGTTTGTGTGTGTGTGTGTGTGTCCACACAGTGGCAACCCCTGGGCGCCTCAGCACTGTGAGAGCAATTTCCTTTTTTTTATTTTACTAAAAGAGCAACACAAGCGGACCCTGCGTCTTTTTCAAGATGTCATTCCGCTTGTGCGTTTCTGGATGCAGTCGTTCCCTGGCGCCAGCAGATGGCCACAATAGCTGCATCTCGTGTTTGGGCGTTCGGCACGCTGAAGCAGCTTTTGTGGATAGCTCATGTTCCCATTGTGGGAATATGACTATCACAGCGCTTAGATCGAGACTCGCTTACCTCAAGGGAGGTGCAGTCCCCTCGCCTATGCCCCGATCTAGTGCTTATTCTGCCCCGCAGAATAGGCCTACTTCGGCGCATGACCAGGGTGATCTGAGGATTACCGTGAGGGCTTCCCCGCCGAGGGAATCTCCGCGGGCCCCTCACGCCTCTCATGTGCTGTTGCCATCGGCGCCCCTTGGCGAACGGCTCGGTCCTTCTCCGGAACAACCAGTCGTTTCCTTTGGGGCACCAGCTGACGATCAGATGTCGATCGCAGCATCGGAGGGGGAGCGGTCATCTGGAGATGACGACTCGGCTGCGTTGCCCCCTTCGGGGTGTGTAGCGTTGTCCGAGCCGGATCCAGAATGGGCCGCTATGCTCTCCCGGGCCGCCGAGAAGGTCGGGCTTGCGTGGAATCCTCCACCACGTCCCGAACCTTCTCGGCTGGACGATTGGTTTCTCGGGGCGGGCCGTGCTGGTTCTCAGTGCGCCGCCCCGGTACCTTTCTTTCCGGAGGTGCATGAGGAGCTTTCTAGGACGTGGAAGGCACCGTATAGTGCCCGAAGCCGTCCTAGTGGCTCCTCTCCCCTCGCCACCCTCGACGGCGGGGCAGCTAAGGGGTATGTGGGGATCCCCCCAGTGGAGCGGGCTGTCGCGATGCAGTTGTGTCCGGCATCCGCCTCCTCCTGGCGGGGTGACCCACGCCTCCCGTCCAAGGCCTGTAAGTTCTCGTCCGGTCTAACGGCGAGGGCTTACAAGACCTGTGGACAGGCTGCTTCCACTCTTCATGCCATGGGGCTCTTGCAGGTCCACCAGGCCCAGGCGCTTATGGACATGAACGAGGGTGGTTCTGACCCAGAGCTCCTCCGGGAGCTCCGTGTGGCAACCGACCTCGCCCTCCGGGCGACGAAGGAAACCGCACGTTCAGTCGGTCAGGCGATTTCCACCTTGGTGGTCCAGGAGCGCCACCTTTGGCTCAACCTGGCGGATATGAGGGACACCGATAAGTACCGGTTCCTGGATGCCCCTCTCTCCCAGGTTGGGTTGTTCGGCGACGCGGTCGAGAGCTTTGCCCAGCAGTTCTCGGCCGCACAGAAGTAGACGGAGGCCATCCGACACATCCTGCCCCGGCGGACCGCTGCTGCTCCCACCCGCCCGCCGACCGCAGCTCCTCCGTCTACTCGTCGCCGAGGTCGGCCTCCTGCGGCGTCCTCCGCTCCCGCTAAGCCCCAGCAGCAGCCATCATCCAGGCCTCAGTGTGGAGCAAGCTGCAGGAAGTCGACCCCGCCCGTCCAGGCCGCTGCTAAGCCAGGAGGCAAGCGCCGGTGCAAACATCCCTGAGACGGGCGGCCCAGAGGTGGATCAAGTTGCTCTTCAGGAGATGGCGGACGTGCCACTCCTTCCCCCGGTGGAGGGCCGGGTGGAGAATCCTTTGTTTCCTTTTCTTTTTGTTCCGCCACTGACCCACGGGTACCCAAGTGGTACCCACCTTGTCAAAGAAAGAGCAATTTCTGAAACCTCTGGGCCCCAAGAGGGCGCGCTTGGCAGTCGACGACGCTATGCCTTGTCACTCCCGAGCCCCTCTTCCATCGCCAGCGGGCAGCAGTGGCTGTGTCCTGGACGCACTGTCGCCTCCGCACACTCACTCTGCCCTCCGGCAGAAGCAGGTACGTCTTGCACCACACGTTCAGACCCCACTCCGGGCCGCTATGCCGCCCGAGTCGGGTCCCTGCATTCCATCACGCTGCCCCACTCCGGGTACGTCTGTTGTGCCGTTGGTCCCGCTTGCTCGGTCTCTGGGAGCTTGGCTAACGCTTCCCAGTCCGTCTTGCTGGCTCATCCGTACTGTCAGACTCGGCTATGCGATTCAGTTCGCCCGGCGCCCCCCTGTTTTCAGGGGCATCCTGTTCACCCGTGTTCTGGCGGACAGTGCCCCTGTTCTCAGAGCGGAGATTGCAGTCCTACTGGCGAAGGACGCAATCGAGCCGGTCCCTCCAGCCGATATGAAGACCGGCTTCTACAGCCCGTACTTCATTGTACCCAAGAAAGGAGGTGGGTTACGGCCAATCTTGGACCTGCGCGTCCTGAATCGGTCCCTTCACAGGCTACCATTCAAGATGCTTACGCAGAAACGCATTTTCAAATGCATCCGTCCCCAAGATTGGTTTGCAGCGATCGACCTGAAGGACGCGTCCAGTCAGTGTTGAACTGCGTGAGTACACTCAGACGCAGAACAGCGGCACCACTGAAACTGTTTCAGAGGCTCCTGGGGCATATGGCATCTGCAGCCGCGGTAACGCCCCTCGGATTGCTTCATATGAGACCGCTCCAACACTGGCTTCACGATCGAGTCCCGAGATGGGCGTGGCAGAGCGGCTAGTGCGGGGTTCCAGTAACCCCGCACTGTCGCCAAACTCTCAGCTTGTGGTCGGACCCTTCGTTCCTGCGGGCAGGTGTTCCCCTAGAACAAGTGTCCAGGCACTCTGTGGTCTCCATGGATGCCTCTATCACCGGCTGGGGGGCCACGTACAACGGGCATGCAGCTTCAGGTCTGTGGACGGGGCCTCAACTGCATTTGCACATCAACTGCCTCGAGTTGTTAGCAGTACATCTTGCGCTGGGCCGCTTCAAAACGTCGCTACAAGGCAAGCATGTACTGGTCCGTACGGACAACACTGCGACCGTTGCGTACATCAACCGTCAGGGTGGTCTACGCTCCCGCCGCATGTCACAACTCGCCCGCCATCTCCTCCTTTGGAGTCAGAAGCATCTGAGGTCGCTTCGTGCCGTTTACATTCCGGGCCTGCTCAACCGTGCAGCCGACGAGCTCTCACGGCAGCAGGTGCTACCGGGAGAATGGCGACTCAATCCCCAGGTGGTCCAGCTGATTTTCAGGCGCTTCAGGACCGCACAGATAGATCTGTTTGCCGCCCCGGACACGTCTCACTGCCAGTTGTTCTATTCCCTGACCGAGGGGACCCTCGGCACGGATGCTCTG